AAAGATCAAGCCAATGGTTCTCATCGAAATCGAGAGCAATTCTAAAGCAAAAGGGACTAAGTCAAAATGCAAGGGAGAACAAGCCCAAAGGCTCAATAGAGGTTTTAAAGGCAAGACCATAACCCATATTGGTGCGTGGGCACTGAAACGAGCTCTAAGACCTTAGGCCAAGGGATCCAGTTCAATAGCTTTCAGACAAACCTAGGTGCAAATGCAAAAATAAGCCCAAGAATGGGCAAAATCGATCTAGGCATGGGCCTAAGGAGGTGCCCTGCATGGGCACTGCTGAAAAAAGAGTCCAACCTGGTTCAAACTCCTTTCTGATAAGAGTCCATGTAAATTATAACACTTTTATTGTAATCCTATGTAATCCTTTGTAATATCTAGACTCTTTATGAGCCTTCGGATAAGGTCAATATCAACCATTGATGAAAGGAAGCTTCACCTATAAATAGAGGGTGTCCCACCTTCATTGTACACACCACAACTTGGAGTAATACAAGTTTACTCTTGCCTATCTTTGTTGTTTCTGTTTAGTTTTCCATCAAAAACTTAATGTGCATCCTTGTCTAGCAGCAGCTTGGGCAGTTAGCACTCGAGTACTGAGTGTCCGTGCACCAATCCAAGTGTCAAGCTAATCTAAAGCACTGAATGAGTCCATTTTCAGGTGCTATTGGCATATGAGTGTGTTAGTAGATATCCTATAATTAATCATTTTGGCTATGAGATATATGTTATATTAAGCATTATTTTTATTAATTAAGATTTTTTTAATCTACAAGTTGATATATAATTACAATTACTTATTAAGTAAAATTCATGGAATAAGATATTCTTTGCAAATGAATTACAAAGAAAATTTTCATTATGAGATCTTCATTGCATAAAAGTATTATTTCTAAATTTATTCCTAGTTGATGCTTTATCAAGAATTTGATACTATAAAAGTTATTGAAATTGATATATGTTTATGCTCTTGTAAAGTAAGTTGAAGTATGGATATACGTGAACTTAAACATTCACTACTTGTTACAAGAACAGTATATAATATAACCATTGAAAATGCTATTTAGTAATCACTTAGTACTATGGCCATATTCTCGACATGATAGTTGCATAATTGGATCCTTTTACATTGAGATCACTATCTAGTTTGCCATGAAAAGTGGTTATACTTGATACTATCTTACATAGTCCTACACAAAGGATGTTTAATATGGGGGATTTTAGGTATAGCATGAATCATGTGGAGATAGAGCAATGATCGAGATAGGATTTATCACCCCAAGTGATCCAGCAAATATGTCATTATTCTTGAGAAGGTTTAACTCATGAAATCTCTAACTTGAGTGAAATGAAATTTTGAATACATTCATAGATAATTTGAAAAGCTAATAGCTTTCAGATTTGAGAATTATTATGGTTGGATGCATGCACTAATCCATGCTCTAGTTTTGTTGAAATATAGTAATGAAAGGTATGAATTATGCTAAGAAATTATGCATAAATAAGTTAGTCAAACCTTCTTGACGCTTCTTAATATTTTGGTGATCATGACACATTGTTGGATATTAATCTTAATCAATAAATATGAATGGATTATTTAGAAAATTAAGGATGAATATTGCAAAAGAGTTTGATTAATCTAATTCTAATTAATAAGAATTACAATATTCATATTTATTACCAATATATTAAGAAACTAATATCACACAATAAAAATAGTTAAGTGAAAAATTAAAATGGAATATCAAGTTGGACTTGATTGGAATAAAGTTTAAAACTTTTTTTTTTTTTTTTGTGTAGTGCAGTTTTAGTTCTAAAAAGAAATTATGCGAAGGAATTTGTATAAGAATAAAGACTTTTACTACGTGCCATTAAATATTGGTTTTACAAAAAAAAAAAAAAAATTCAAAAGATATTCCTTTCCTTTATATCATCAAAAAGTCTGCCACCATTTTTTCCATTATCTGTTGTCTATGTAGTGTTTAAAACACAAAGTGACAAATATTTTGCCACCATCTTCCTCGCTGTTTGCTGTTTATACAGCTTTTATAACACAAAAGGTAATTACAACCAAAACATTTGAAGCCGAATAACCTCAAACATCCATAATCCACAAAATAGCCTTCGGCCCAAAACCAAATATAGGTGTTAAATCAATAAACAATTTAGGATTATTTTAATATAATTAGTATAGATTAGTATAGATAGTATAGATGACGTCCCTCCTGTGCATGAATGACTCTCATGTGTTTAGAAATGTAAGAAGAATGTAAGAGGCAATTCGTAGCTAGATAGCATTTGTCGATACCATTATAGGGTAATTATTCGTATAAATATTATTAGAAGTTGGACAATTGGATAGTAAAAAATTTGTTATAACGTAATTAAGAAATTTTTATTTTTTGATAATTAATCACATCCGAATTTATAAAGAGCCTTAAGTTTTTTTTTTTTTTTTTTGTGTTAGAAACTTATTTAAAACAATATCATGGTAAGATTCAATTGATGGAGAATTAAAATTTTAAAATTTCATCGTCCATACGCCGAATTTGCATGATTGATTTCCAACAGAATGTGCATGCATAAATCTTTTTCTATAGATATATGTATCTCATTCTAATCTATTTTGGAGAGAGAGAAGGGAAAATCACGTGACATGTTCTTTGCGTTGTCTGGGGTATGCCTTGCACCAAAGCTTTCAATTAACAATGGAATTCTAGTAGACTTACAATGTAATAGATTAAAAAAATGAAAATACAATAGTCCAAAACCATTACACACTGATTGACGATGGAATTCTAGTAGACTTGCAGTTTGATTTTGTTGATCCCGTCTTCAATTTTCTCATTACACTTGTAATTATTTTTCGGTAAGGAATCGATGTTTGCAATCCCAATAGTATTCCTCCCTATCGATTATTTTAAGAAATAATACTATAAATATATTTTAAATCATATTTAAATATTTAATATGGTATTTAAATTTTATAAATCTCTAATATGTTATTTGAATTATAAATTTATTAACTAATAAGTATTTAAAGGATTATTTATCCATTGCATGTCATCATTTGGAGATAATTAAAAATAAATACCACATTAATTAACAAATTAATAATTCAAATATTACATTAAAAATTTTTTAAATTCAAGTACTACATTAAACAATGATTAAAGGGTAAAAGAGTATTCAAACAAAAAATTTAGTAATCATTTAAACTCTTATCATTTTGTTATAATCAATTAAACTCTCAAATTTTTATTTTCACCAATTAATTCCTTATTAGATAAAAATTGATTATCTATCAACATTTATTTCCATTTAATCAAGAGTTCAATTAAAATAAAAATAAATATTTAAAGATTTAATTTGATAAAAATAAATATTTAATGGTTTAACTTATTCGAAATAAATTTTAATTGTCTAGCTATAAATTTGGCGAGAATATTAAGGTGTCCATAAGGATTTGCAATTCTTGTAATAACAATGTTGAGTTTTGGATTCATACAATTACTCAAAACTAGATTAATAATAATAAAATATTAAAAACTTTAATAATTATTAAATTTTTGTTCTTTTGCCTCAAACATTACACTATAATTCGAGCTACATTAACGATTATATTAATGATCTTCAAAATTTTTGAGACTTCCCATCTTCATGATCTCTTCTAAGGACTTCTATTATTTCTTTGCATACTAACCTGGTTTCCTCTTGCAATGTCATCATCTCCTTTGTTTGCAAAAATGTCGTCAGCTTATCAATAGTTGACCTCGCTTCCATAGCTAATATACTGAAGATTTGGTATCAATTACCAGCAAAGGAGTACAAAAGAGAGATGAGAATTAGAACCCTAAATATATATAGAGAAAAATCTATTAATCTATATCTTATATTTTTTTAGTAAAACATACCCAAATTATAAGGTCAAACATGCCTATTTGCCCTTAATTAAAGTTAATAAGATAAAATCCATATAATATCATATTTCTTTTTTACAAAATATTTGATAAAAAACTTAATCAATCTTTAATTTTCAATAACATGCAAAGAAAATTTTTTATCATCAGTATTTTAATTTTTATAATTAAAAAAAATAGTATTTAATTTTTCAATTTATTACTTAAACTACTCCTTAGTAAGAACAAATTAAAGTTTGGTGAGGAAAGTGATAAAATGGTATTAATTTAGTGACCACCAGGAATTTACTCCAGGTCCAAACGGAAAATGACCTAGGAAATTAGTTGCCCTTATTTCATTAAATGAAAGATTAAACAGGCCTTTATGATATTGATACACAATATTTTGGATCGTTAGAAGTGATACATATTTTAATAAAAAATTAATAATAATACGTCACTATATATTTTATTTGATTAAAAATCATCAAAAGCAAAAGTATTCACAAGTCAAACTATCCATCAAGCCCACAAATTTAATTTGATTGGATTTGGATTTTGGATATGATGTTTTAAGTTTGAATTTAATTTTTAAAAAAATATAAATTAATAAATAATATATTTTAATTAAATTTTAATATTTAAATATAATTGTTAATAATAATTATAATTTCAATGAATATTTACTTTAGACATAATAATCGGTTTTGATTCAACTTAATCTTATATTTGGATCCTTTTAATAAAAAATTAACCTTAAAAATATTTTTTAGAAAGGAAATAAAAGGAATATTCTTAAAAATTTTAATTTTTTTACCTTAATTAATGATAAAATTGCATTGATTCAAAGATTATGATGTAAATCTGAACTTTATCCTCATTTTAAATTGTAAATATAAAATGCTGTTGGGAATTTGACTTTTATGCCCAATTTATATAATTATATCCTTTCGCCAAAAAACGGAAAAACAAAAAGAATGTTAATTTAATCCTAGTTTGTAACCTTGTTCTACGGTTACAAAGGCAAAGACTTAAATTCGTAGTGTGATTGAAGATCTCAATGCCATGAAAAGGACAACATGACTTTCTGAAAAATAAAAAAAATAAAATAAAATTCCATTAATTTTAATTAATTTATATAATTATCTTCAAAAATTATATTTAATAAATTTATGATGTAAATTATAATACCTACCATTTATTTTTCTATTTCTTTTGAATAAAAGAATTAAAAAAAAAAAAAAAAGAGGTAGGCCACGCTCCACGGGTTCACTTCCAACATGTGTAACATGTTTTTACGTGTTTAATAGGGCCATTGACTCAAATGAGTCTGGGGAATCAGGGTCCCTCAGGTTAGTGCGTTTTTTTGGTTTATTTGTTTTGTTGACTTATATCACATCCACAAAATGTTCATTTTTTCAAATACAAAATTTGTCATTAAATATGATATTAATGATAAATGCATGTATTATTTATTCGAAATGAAAAATGGGTTCAAATTACTGAGATTCATAATCAAAAACAAATATATATATATATATATATCTTACCCGTTGAGTTTGCAAGCAATGTTTGACTCCACAAATTGCTCAGTGCTTCTCAAATTCAAGCTTTCACAAAGCCTATAATTCTTCTGCAAGTAGTATTTTTGGTGTTGGTTTTCTGCCATATAAAATTCAGATTTAAAAGGGATGGCTTTTGTCACTATCCTCTTGTTCAATTTCATCTGCCACCTGATCCTTGACTCTTGGGCATGCTTTCTCTCTTCTTCTCTGTTGTAAAAGATTGCTGACCTTTGGTGTGTGGTAAGTCCAAAATTCTGTATCAAATTAATTAATTTATTCTAGATTTAATGATGACAGCTGAGCATATAATTACAATGACTAATAACCTTAATTGTAATGTAATAAAAAATTTGTAAACAACAAAAAGACTTGAATTTCATGATTTAATAAGTTGATTCATTCAGTTATTTTTAAAAAATTATATAGATTAAATGTAAAAAAGATTGGCTCAAATTAAGTCCTTATAGTCCAAATAATGAATTGAAAAATAGATATAAATGCTGAATATATAGGAGAAGAAATAATTACAAGGTAGTCTTTGTTGGTGCAATCATGGAATTCCCAGAAGAAATCACAGAGTGATCTGAATGAGACCTTTCTCTTATCATAAATGACTTTTACAGCTTCAGTGTGGCCTGTTTTTCCTTCACAAACCTAAAAATATTGTTAACAGGGTAAAGATGGATTGCTGTCAAACTGTTGAACCATCAAATATATGTTAGATGTTTACCTCTCTGTATGAAGGTTTTCTAAGGGTTCCTCCACAATAGCCAGTGGCGGTTCTTATGACTCCCTCTACACGCCCAAAAGCAGCTTCAAGACCCCAAAAGTTACCTGCAAGTTCATGCATATCAATAAGAATATACCATCAGGTTCATGACTTCATATAAACAGTAAAGAAGCCAGTTAGAGGAAAAGGCGGATTCAGGATTCTTTTCGAGGTGTCCACTTATAACAGATAAAAAAATTACCAACAAATTTATGAATTTTATCAATAAAAAAGATGTTCAAGAAAAAATGTCGGGTATGTCCAGAGAAAATTTTTCCTTCAAATTTTATCATTTTCTAAATTTTGAATTGTTTATGAACACCCTAGTTCATGGTCTGGATCCGCCAATGGCCAGAGGGGGAGATCACAGAGGCATGCAGCTCACCTCCTGCAAACACAGCTTCACTGAGGAATTCTGAAGGAATTGAGATCTGAGAGATGGGAAAGTCAGAAACCTGATGGGTATTAAATTGAGGAAGTAACTGATACCTGGCCATGGTGATCAAAATCAAATTAAAACAGCAGCTGGCCTTGTTCTTAATAAAATGAAAGCTGGGTTTTGTTTCTATAGACTATAATCATTTTTATATGGTGGGGATGGTAATGGTTTTTCTTAGAAAACGTGAAGGGATAAGATGCAAAATGAATTTTATATCTGATATCTGTCTACTTTGCATGTTCTGTCTGTCCAAAGTGTTTGAACGCATTTAGACTTTCTTCATTAGCCGTGTTGAAAAACATTGATTGGAATTGTCAGCTTCTTTCCTCGGAAGTCTTCTTAATTTTTTTTAATTGCATGTTGGCATCTTCTCCTCGTTTGAAACCGAGCCATGAGTTTATACTTAAGCTTCTTACCATATCAATTTGACTCACATTACAGGGAATTAGGTCTTTAGTGAGATTTTTTTCACGTTTAACACCGTTTATAAACATAATTAAAAGATTCACAGCGTTTTTCAAAAATGCAAATTTAGTGACGTCGTCAGAAAAAATAGCGATATTTAAGAAAAATACCACTAACTTAATGGTATTTTTAAGAACAAACATCGCTAAATTTAATGCCGTTTGTATCAAAAAATGCCACAAAATTTATAACGTTAGTTCTTAAAAACGTCACCAAATTTGCATTTGGTGACGTTTATAGTAGAAACCGCTATTAAATTTAGTGACATTTATAGTAGAAAGTGCCACTAAATTTGGCATTTAACGATGCTTTTAGGTACAAATATCGTTAAATTAAGCAATTTATTTTTTTAAAATTTTTTTTAATATTGATTATTATCATTAAATAGAACATGTTAAAAAAAATAAAAACAAGTTTAAATTCATAAACTAAATATTATAAATACATAATTTGTTTCAATATGGATGGAACACAAAGTTTAATACTTGCAATAATACTCAAATTATTTTAGTACAATAACAAAAAATTTAAAATGTATAAAATTGATGACTGCATAAATTTGGAACACTGCTATTTGATTAAGGATTTTTTTTTTTTTTACCTTAGTCACTAACGTGCTTAAAAACCTATTGAATAAAGTAACAAAAGTTTTAACCCTTAATAATAAGCTATTTTTTATATTAAAACATATAAATAATTACTAAATATAATACCTGAGTTAGTAGATCACCTAGATTAGTTCCTAGAAATTGTGGTTATACAAAATTCATAAGAGTGTTGAATAACTGCTAAAATCTTACACGCTCTTGGACGTTCTTCTTCAATTTTAGCACATTCTTATTCAATTCTAACATGCTCATGTTCTCTTTCTGCTTTCATTTGCTCGAAACGTTGTTGCATAGTTTGCAATCCTTTTCTTAATATGGAGATATCTTGCGAAAACTAACTTGTTGAGAATGTAAATTATTGAAAGCTACATCTATAGTAGCTAGATGGTGTTGGAACTAATCTAAGGCCTCAGACCTATCCATGTCTTTCTTTTCTAGCAACTTCTATGAAAATTCAATTTTTTAATTCTTGCATACTAACATAACCATCAGATGCTACTTCAATTTCAACAGTCTTTTCTCTTTCGCTTTCTCTTGTAAATCAATCATATAAAACTATCAAGTTTAATAATTAATTCATAATATATTTAAAATAGTAAATATTTACTTTCTCTACAAAACGAATCCAACAAATTATCATAATTTCTTGTATTTCAACATTTAGATAAGATCCATCTTTTTTTGTGTGGATTAATCAAAAAAGTTTCACACATCTAATTTTTTTCACCCATCTTAATCTCTTACATAAAAACATATGTTATTGTTAAACATATGGCAACCACAACTTATTCATGCATATCAACCATAGAAACTAAGTTCAATCATTTGGACAAATTTAATATCATATATTTAAGCTATCCAAACTGTTAAAATAGAACAATAATAGCAAATTTGTACTTTTACCTTTTAACGGCACAAAAAGTCTTAAATAGACGTAAATAGTAGCTTTTTCACACATATTAACTGTGAAAATCAAGTTCAATCATTTGGACAAGTTTATTATCATGTATTGAAGCTATCCAAACTGTTAAAATAGTACAATAATAACAATTTTGCATTTTTTCTTTTTAACGACACAAAAAATCTTAAACAGATGTAAATGATAACTTTTTCACACATATTAACAATGAAAATCAAATTTAATCATTTAGACAAGTTTAATATCATGTATTAAAGCTAGCCATCCAAACTGCTAAAATAGCACAATAATAGTAATTTTGCAATTTTGCCTTTTAACAGCATAAAAAGTCTTAAACAAATGTAAAAGATAACTTTTTCACACATTTTAACTATGGAAACTAAGTTCAATCATTCAGATAAGTTTAATATCATATATTGAAACCATCTAAACTATTAAAATAGAACAATAACAGCAAATTTGTATTTTTACTTTTTAATGGCACAAAAGAATCTTAAACAGAGATAAACAACGTCTATTTCACACATATCAATGATGAAAACCAAATTTAATCATTCGAACAAGTTTAATATCATGTATTAAAGCTATCCAAACTGTTAAAACAGGACAATAATAGCAATTTTGCATTTTTTACTTTTAATGGCATAAAAAGTCTTAAACAAATGTAAATAGTAGCTTTTTCACACATATCAACAATAAAAACGAAATTCAATTATTCGAACAAGTTTAATATCATGTATTGAAGCTATCCAAACTATTAAAATAGAACAATAATAGCAAATTTATACTTTTACCTTTTAACGACACAAAAAGTCCTAAACAGATGTAAATGATAGCTTTTTCACACATTTCAACTGTGAAAACCAAGTTCAATCATTCGAATAAGTCTAATATTATGTATTGAAGCCATCCAAATCGTTAAAATAGAACAATAATAGTAAATTTACATTGTTGCTTTTTAACGACATAAAAAATCTTAAACAGAGGTAAACGGTAAATTTTTCACACATATCAACTTTGGAAACTAAGTTCAATCATTTAGACAAGTTTAATATCATGTATTGAAGCTATCCAAACTGTTAAAATAGAACAACAACAGCAATTTTACATTTTTACCTTTTAACGACATAAAATATCTAAACAGAGGTATACAATAACTTTTTCACACATATCAATTATGAAAACCAAGTTCAATCATTCGAACAAGTTTAATATTGTATGTTGAAGCTATCTAAACTGTTAAAATAGAACAATAATAGCAAATTCGTACTACTACCTTTTAATGGCATAAAAAGTCCTAAACAGATGTAAACGGTAGCTTTTTTACACATATTAACTATGAAACCAAGTTCAATTATTCGGACAAGTTTAATATCATGTATTAAATTTATCCAAATTGTTAAAACAAAACAACAACAAGAAATTTACATTTTTACCTTTTAACGGCATAAAAAGTCCTAAACAAGCATAAACAACATTTTCATACATATTAATCATGGAAACCAAGTTCAATTATTTAGACAAGTTTAATATCATGTATTGAAACTATCAAAACTGTTAAAATAGAATAATAATTATAAATTTGCATTTTTACCTTTTAATGGCACAAAAAATCTTAAACAGACATAAATTGTAACTTTTTACCACATATCAACAATGAAAATCAAGTTCAATCATTCGAATAAGTTTAATATCATAAATTTACTTTTTCTTTTTGTTTTTCTTATGAAGCTTTTTGATTTACTTGTGTGGCTAACTTTCTACTACAAATCCCAATCTTTTCTCTTTCTTGTCATAAAAAATAACTGTGTATATATTATAAATACAAATATTACCAACTAAAATCATAAAAGTTATAAATTAATACTTTTCTTTTTCTTGAGAACTAAAATTTAACTAATTGGTCATATTTTCACCTAATCACATTATAAGGTAAATTTTTTGTTGTGGCCTCTATAATAATATTTTGATCGAAATTCTTTTTTTTCAAATTATGCTTATACTCTTTCCGTTTCTTTCTCAATGACTTAAGCATAATGAAGTACGTATTTCAAGTACAAATCTTGGCGATAATAATACAAAAAGAAAAGTTATAATCAATAAACCAAATTTAAATTAATTAATTTTTTATATGCAATAAATTATACTAATATCTCAATAAAGTTTAAAGCATCGACCTTAACTTCTGTTGGAACTTTATGTCATGTTTCATAATGAATAGGTAATTTCATTCCATTATAGGCAATCATGCCTAAAAATTCAGCCAAGAGTTGAGACTCTTCACCAATTGATTGCCATCAGAGTTTACAGATACTATAATATGCTTATTCGGAGATAGTGCAAACAATTCTTTCAAAGTTATTCGTCCTCTGGTCCTACATTAATCATTGTTATCAACTGTAAAAAATAAAAAGTTAATTAGTAAATTACCAATACTTTAATGATTATAATTGAAATCTAAATATGGGGTTTATGATACCTATATTCAAATTAGAAGCAGAATCAATTGACGAAATACTATCTAAACTTGGACCTCCCATATTGCTAGAACCAGTATCAATTGAAGGGTTAAAAGTGATAAAGTTAGAACTGACAATAGGCACATTCCCTTACAGAGGATTTAGTCCATGGCCAAGATCAATAGGTGCCACAGATGGTTATGAACTAATATCTTTGATATATATATATATATGTATTCCCTTTAATCTACTCTTCGATATTGTAGCTTAGCTGTATTATAAAAGCGAATATATAAAGAACATATGTAAATAATATATATATAAAAATATTGATAAGTTAAGAAATCATAACCAACAATATGTAAAGAACATATTGATTTAATTAAATTAAAAGAAATGTATGATTTACAAACCAATAAATATACAAAAGTGAATGCCACATAAATTACATACAAGCATTTATTACATTATGTTTTAAACACTCTAATTACAAAATATGGATGATCTATCATGGTTTATAAATGTCTTCATTAACATCTTCGCAAACCTATTGAGTAGAAATACTGGAGATATTTTTATCCAAGTTTTGTTTAGCAAAAGAAAAACATTTAGTTCTATATTTAGCATCATTTCTGGTATCTGACCCCATTTCAAATAAGTCCATAAGTGTATTACAAAGAACAACAAACTGATTTGACTTTAGAAGAAAAAACATAAGGTTCATCAATGAGTTTTTGTCCAGTATGAATTAATCAAGAAAAATTCATAATTATAATTCCAAACTGATCTTTTTTAATTCTTTTCATACTATTCGCATCAACCAAATCACACCGAAATAAAATAACTTTTCACTTGCCATAATAATCCAACTCAATAATGTCATTAATCATACCATAATAGTCAATATTTCTATAGCATAGCTAGTAGTTAATGAAGTAACAACAACTCCTAAATTTTATATTCTAAATCTCTCACGAGATTTAGTGTGAAATCTAAATCCATTTATAATAAA